AATTTCTCCATGCTTTAGTTTTTCTCATCTTAGGAAAAGGAAGAGAAATTCTTGAATGAAAACCAAGTCAATTAATTTGTTTGGTATAAGGTTAAGTATTATCTTTTTTTACTATTCGTTTGGATTTCAAATGAAGTTCACAAAAGACTATTGCATTTTCACATTTCACATGATTAAAGGTAGATTTGGTAACTTTTATCTATGAAACCTATAAGTACCTTGAGAGAGAGAGAGAGAGAGAAACAGAGAAGAGAAGAGGAGAACACATTTTATAATTCTAAACATTCTTCTGTTTATGCCTTTGGGGAGAAAACTAAAGCCATTATAAAAGAAATAATGTAGAGAGAGTCAGAGGCTTCTTGGTAAACAAAACTCTCTACTGAAACATTTAGATGGTTTAGTTAAGAATGAACTGAAATATCAATTGCATTTCCTTGAAATCAAAAATAAATTCCAAAATAACTGGGAAGCATTTCTGAAGCAGTACTTGGATAAGTATTTGCAATCTGAAAATGGGATGAGGTAAAATAGGATAAATTTAACTATGGAAATAATATTTTTCCTTCCACAGGGTATATCTATGCCTTCTATTAAAAATAAAACACTCTATCACCTCTGCAAATTTTATTTTGGGTTATCTATTTACTTTTTTTTGTTTGCTGCTGAAACAGCTGTCAATAGCTACAGATAATTGATTTGTCTCCTGATAACTATAGAAACTATTTCATGAAAAGTCAGTTTACAACTTTTTATTGAGTTATGTGATTAAGCATAAAGTATTTTACACTTGGCATCTGTGTGTATGATGTGTGCACACATACATACACTATATATCCTTGGGTTCTGGCACCCAGAACCAAGTAAAGTTATTTTTGAATTAATTAATGTTGCTTCAGTTGTATATATACTAATGCCTGAACTTTAGATAGTAAAATATCCAGTTTCATTTTGACTTTCTGAATACAGTGTGTGTGTGTGTGTGTCTGTGTCTGTGTCTCTGTGTATGTGTGTTGTGAGTATAAACCCCTGGTTTATTAGTAAATACAAGAATCACTAGGGAGTAATTGTTCTTTTATGCACAAAACTGCAGATTTGAAGAAAGATGACCAGGTTTGGGTCTCATCCCACACATCTAAATATTTTCTGAATGTCCCTACGGTAGTCATTTAATTTCCTAATCCTTAGTTTCCTCACTGACAAACTATCTCACAGAAAAACCAAATGACATAGGTATGTGAAAGAAATACTGCCAAATTTCAGCTATTATTTAATTTTCTATGCCTGAGAGAGTATGTGGTGCATGTCTACCAGTGAACCCAACAAGGAGAAGAGGGTTTGATGCATGTTTATTGATTACTGAATAAATCTTTGCCCTTGTACACAGCAATATATGCATATGTATTAATAGGTAGATAAGTCAGAGAGAAGTATTGGGGCCTGAGGCAACCGATATTTTCCTTCTTTTCAAAGCACAGTAAATTTAAATCTGAGTCTCAAATTGTATTCAGTACATCTAGGAACTGCAGCACATGTTCTCTTCTATTATTGAAGAAGACAGCTGCCTAGTCAATGTAAATTTTATTGTAAAATTGTTTAATAGAATTTACAATTATGGGAGGACAAACACACTTGAGACACTAATGGAGGGTCTGAATTTGATATGTGCAGACAAAGAAGCCTGTCAGACATAGCACCACCTATTGTATCACAGAGAAAGGTGGGCAATAAAAGACAGTGACTACTAATGAAAGGAAACTCCCACTGATCTACTGGCATTATTCCTCTTAACTAAGACAGTAAAAAACAGTGTGGAATAAGTGCCTAAATTTTTGTCTTAGAAAGGAAATATTAGCATGTAAAAAATACCAATATGTTTATTTTATCCACTGTACTCAACTATTCTGCCCCATTTGATATCCAGCACCATGTTACTCTTACAACTTTCCCAATTGTTGTGATACTTTAATATACTTGTTTTCTTCTTACGACTCTGATGTATTTTTCTTCCTTTTATTCAACGGCAATTCAACACTTCCCAATCTCTGTAGATATTCTTAGGCTCAGCCCTTGGGCCATCCATTATTGCTAATATATTACTTTCAGCTATTGTTGTGGTTTGAAATTCCAAAAACTTATGACAAATCCAAACTTCTCCACAAAATGCCACTTGTATGTAGTACTACTTATCCACAGAGTAAAAGTTCCAAAACACCCAATGGATGCCTGAGAACAAGGATAGCACTGAACATGTGTGCTGTTTTTTCCTATTCATATATAACTATGATGAAGTTTATTTTATAAATTAGGCACAGTAAGAGATTGAAAACAATAGCTAGCAATAACTGATAAAAATCAAGCAATTATAGCAATATTCTGGAACAAAATTTATTTCAATATTATCAAAGTTTTATTTCTAGAATTTTCCATATATTATCAGACCACAGTTTACCGTGGGTAACTGAAACCTCAGGAAGGAAACCACACATAAGGGGAAATCAATACACAATAAATAAACATTTCCACTTGAATATTTGTGATCAGAAAACCAACATATCTGGAGATAATTGATATTTTTCTCAATGTGGACTAAGACAAGTAACATATTGAAAATACTTATCATAACTAATAATTTTGAAAGAAGACTCCAAGACAATCTGCATTTTGAATATGATGATTTTAGGTAGTTTTTTAGATAAAACATACCCTTTTTATCTGATCAGTAATTTTATTAGTCCACTATGTGAGAAGAGAATAAAAAACAATGTGTCTAAACCTGTTTTATGCACTGTTGGTGATTGACTATAGAAGTCATTACATGTCTTACCTCAGCTAATGAGGGAAGTTGGGCACACCTACGGAGAAATACTAGAGACCTATTTGAAATTAATTTAATAAAGTTGGCTTTGAGGTTAGTACAATCAGCAAGATATTTCCTTCTGTCTTATGATTTACAAAGCAAGAAAACAGAGCTATTTGAAGAGGAGATCTTTGATGACCTTTAACTACTTGCTGTTAACATCTTCGTAATTCTGTCTCTCAGATACATAATCAGCTCAGCATTAGAAAGAAAAAAGTATTGTGTTTTGAAAACATATTGTCTCATTTTCCTGGTATTAAAAGTTAACAATTTTTGAGTGGAACTTAATGTCTACTTCATCAATTCTTTCACCCAGATTTCTTAACATTTAATACATCAATTACTTTATTACTGGCCTCCGTATTTTGTTTTTGGAGGGGGATACTCTTTTATTTAAGTGAACCTAATGAGATTCTCCCTTTCCTCATAAGTATTGCAAACTTCCTTAAATTTACAATGAATCTCACTGAAAACATTTATTTTTCTAGTGAATAAATAGTAAGGAGCAGACATAACATAAAGGAAACTATTTTGTGCTTGATGAGATATTTTAATATTTATTGAATGTCAAGCCCTTTGAAGTGATATTGTTAAAAGAGGTGGATCAAACATTTTTCACAGGTTTTATACATGTTTTTGTTTGCAGTTTTATTTGTTCATTGTTGGTATGTGTTTTTATATGTTAGTGAAAAGGTAAAATTTAATTTATAATATGACAATTTACAAAGATAACTACTTAATGATAAGGATATAAGAATTCTCATTTATTACCTTGTAGAGCTACACATTGTTACCACAATTGATAGACTGAAAAGGATGGGATTTTTAGTAAAATCACTAGGATTCGAGGCATGGCTCTTTTTCTCAACAACTTTGCAATTATAATGACAAGTACACAAGAGTCTTAATTTTATAGTTATCATAACAGTGACAATAAAATCTACCTCAGGAAGATTTGTGAAGTTAACCAAATAATTTCATAGTACTATATATAAAATTAATACTTTGACAAATAAAGTTAAGACAGATCCAGAGACTTTGTCATGCTTTTAAAACTCTTGATGATCTGAGTTGTAATCATCTACTGATTTATCAATACCACTCTACCTCCAGCTCATTCCACTCTAATAACTTTGCCTCACTCATGTCTCCGAATGCCCCTGCTTTTTTAGTCCTCAGGGCCTTTGCATGTGCTATCACTTAAATCTAAAATATTCTTCTCTCTGTTTTCATGGTTGGTGTTCTCATTTCATTCAGATCTCTGTTTCAACATTACCTTCTTTTGGAACCTTCACTATATAGCTTATGTGAAACGGTGCCTATTTCTCCACATGTTTTCATTTTACTCCATTTATTATTTTTATAGCACTCATTACTAATTATCATTATATAATATTTTCTTTTGTTTCTTGTCTATGCTTTTCCTTACGACTAAACTCCGTGAAAATTTGGAGACTGCCTGTTGTTTTCACTATTGCCACCTCAGCACTTAGAACAGTATCTGATGCATAACTAGTGTTTAATAAATGAGGACAGATGAGTGAGCTTTCATTCATTCTTTTTTCTGAATGAAGCAAATTTCACAGTGCTTTCTATGGATGATTAATCATTGTAATAAGCCCACTACTATTTTCTAGGGATCTGACTCTGGACCTCACATCTCTACCTGTGAACTGTAGCCCCACTATTACTATTTCCCCAATGAAAAATTCAGATGTTATGGATTAAATAACTTCCCCAAAGTTAGGATAGAAAATTTTGGACTCTGAGCAGTTTGATTCCAAAATGTTTGCCCTTAATCACTGCTGTAAAGTCTCTTCTACATTCAAGTCATTTTTATATTAATTGATATCCAGTTATATTGCTATAAAAATGTACTGAATTGACAATCAAAAGCACATTTATGTAACTAAATTTTACTTCCAAAAGAAATAAGTGTGGTTAGTGGTTAAAAAATAAACCAGTTACTAGAATCTCAAAGACCAGCATTGTGATAAAGGTACATCATATGCATGTATGAAAATATCATAATGAAACCTCTTCGTACAATTAATATATGCTAATAAAAAATGTTGTGAGAAAAGAGAGAAATTCAAAAAGGTAGGTAACGTTTGTTTTCACAGGTGACAGAAGCATGACTTACCTCTAGGTGGCCAGCTATTGCAGCAATGTGGAGGGCAGTGAGGCCACCATACCCAACCTGTTGTATATCCGCTCCACTGTGAAGCAGGGAAGTGATCAATTCTGCACTATCCTGTAAGGAAATGCATCTTTAGTGTTACTTTTCTACTAACAGCAGGTATGAAAGCTGTGCAACGGATGTATTGATTCCCTGACTGTCAGTTGGTTTAGGTGCTCAAAGAAAACCTAAGTGTAATTTCTGGCTAAAGAGCACATTAGATAGCAGAATGGCTATCCAATAGTTGAAATGTAGGACCATATGACAGTACTGTTCAGTACCAATCAATCTTCTACCACTTGACCATGAAAGGCACAAAAGACATTTATCTATAGTGAGGCTCTTAAAAACTAAAGTTACTCTTACATGTAGGTCACCCCATAGATATGCTTTCTCCAGCAATTAAAACTAACCCCCAAAGAGGTCAAGAATTAAATACTGTAAAGATTTAATTGTTTTTCCTCTGAGAGATGAAGATGAAATATTCTTTCTAAGAAGAGAATATAAACTAAGTATCGAAGAAACTGCTGTTTACTGAACTATTTTATGTTGGTTTAGCAATTGCTTAGTTATAACAGGATAATGGGACCTATACATAATTAATTAGTTGTGTCTTTCCTAACTTGACTGATTTTTACTAGTCCGAACACTCAAAAGGGTGATGAGGTAGGTCATGTATTCACAAAACTGCAGATTTGGATGGGAATGCAAAGCTCTCCGTGTTTAAATTTCTGTCAAAGTAAGAATATAATTTACAACTTTTGAAATACTTGATGCATAAACACAAGTATTTAAAAGTAATCTTTGGCTGGGTGTGTGACTTGTGCCTATAATCTCAGTCACTTGAGAAACAGAGATAGGGAGGATCACAGTTTGAGGACAGCCTGGGCAAAAAGGATAGCAAGACCCATATCAACAAACAAGCTGGGTTGTCCATGCTATAATACCAGCTATGTGGAAGGTATAGGGAAGAGGATTGTGGTCCAAGGTCAGATGTGGTCCAAGTGCAAGACACTACCTGAAAAATAGCTGAAGTAAAAAGGGCTGGAGACATACCTCAAGTGTTAGGGCACTAGACTAGCAAGCATGAGACACCATGTTCAAACCCCAGTACCACCAAAAAAAAAAAGTAAAATATTTATGAGATAGATCACTGTATTTTTAAATTATATAATATTATTTCAAAATGTAAGAAAATTGTCCCATGAAAAACCAAGACTGATTTCTTAGTGTTGTTGAATACATACATGAAGGCTGAAAGAATTTTAAAAATGTTTTAAAATGAACTTTGATAAAGAGCTTCAAATAGAAAGTTGATGTTAGAGTTTCTAAATCTTCCCTTCAAACTACCTGCTCTACCAAGAAAGTTAAGATTGTATCTTCAACCCTTACTATTGCATTGTCTCCTATTGCTCAGAATAAAAACTTATTTTCACCATTCTACAAAAAAAAGCATACACTTGTTTTCCCACTGAAGCCAAGTTAATTTTATCTCCATCTTCACTTTTATTTTCTAACCTTCTATAAAAAGTTATAGATAGTGCTGACAGTTCTGGACTCATTTCTGTAGTAATTTTTAGTGAAGTATATCCAAGTATTGCTTTAGTTAGGTAGATACCAAGTCTCACTCAACTGAATTCAACTCACTCCTTATATGCTAAATCTTGCTTTTCTCACAATACTCCTAAGACAGATTTCTTCCTTTTTTTTTTTTGCCTTTCATTATCAAAAGAAATCATTATGACTGCTTCTTCTACCTGAAGTGCTAGAAACCTCACCATTCTTCCAGAAATCACTTTCTCAGTTTCAGAGAGTAAACCATTTATCACATTCAATTTCTTTCCTTATAATCACTCTATTCCTCTCTATTATTTAACCATCTCTTTCCTCTTGAAGTCCTCTCTTTTGCTTTCTTAAAAACATACATTACTAGGTTCCTTTTTACTGTGTTTTTGTCTCCTAAAATTGTGTAGGAGTTTTGCACTAAGCCTCTTTCTTATTCTAATTATAACTCCTATACAATCTGAAGACTTTGTCTTTGGTTCTGATTTCTTTGCTAAGTCTGATTTCCATAGGTTTTTGCCTATCAATAGCATCTAAAATTCTACATTGCTCTTCTGAGTACCATTTATAGTTTTTCCAATATGAACTGTCATTTTCCAATATTTCTTATTTATATCAATGGTACTTTCTTCTTCCAAATGTCCTAGAGACCATTCAACTTAATCAGTTTCAGAATTCTTATACTTTTAACTCCTTTATACATCTCAACTTTCTTATTTCTAAAATCATTCTCCATACTAAGTAGCTTCCGAATTAGTCTCTTGAGTGAATCATTTTCTCAGTGCAGTCCATTCTCCACACTGCTGTCAGATAAATTTCTGTTTTTGATGACATCATTCCCCTTTCCAATAAATCTTTTATGTTCCAAACACATATTTACTAAGCATGTATGCCATATAAAACACTGATAAGCACTGGAGACCCTGCAGTGAATAAGACCATCAAATCCCTGCTCTCACAGAGCTTATATTTTACTGGTTATATGTGAATGGAGAGGCAGAAAATAAATAATAAAATATTTACAGCAGCAAAATGTACCAATTTCTGTAAGACAAAGCAAGCAGAAAGGATTAGGTAGCTACTTTAAATTGAATCATCAGGGAAAGCTTCACCAAGGTGCCCTTTGAGATAAGTAGTAAATGCCAAAATGGAGAAATCCTAACTATAATTTCAAGGATGAGCATTAAAAACTATTGAAAAGTTCTAAGATGGAAATAAGGCTAGTGTGTCTGGAAACAAGGCTAATGTTTAGTAGATGGTTAAAAACAAGAAGGAAAAAGATAAAGTCAAAGATGTCTGAACTTGTAAGGCCTTTTAAGCCATGATATGGGTTATTTGGTATTTCCAAGTGTAATATATAGCAGGGAAATGAAATTATATAGAGATAGGGAAGAATTAGGAAGAAGTAAAATGTTTTATTTTCATATGAAAAATTTGTGGTGGATATAATGCAATATGTGATTACTCATCTTAGAATCCAAGCTCTGCTAAACTGGGTGAACTTGGGTAAATTCTCTAACCCCTTTTCACCACCTTCCTTGGATGTATAAAAAGGAGGGAGTAACTGTATTTTACTTTACAACTGCTGTGATAATACATCTAAATCACTTAAAAGGTACCTGACACAATAATACTCTACAGAACTCATCACTATTGGATGTAGGAATTTAGTCTTCAGTGGAAATTTCCAAATAAGGTAGTCATTTGATTCCATCACCCATCTTCTCTTTCCCTTTGCCTCCTCTCCATCTGCCTCTTTTCCATAACTGCACTTCCTCTGCTTTATTAGTTTGCCATTGAGCAACCAAAGGACTAAAACATGAAAAGGGCTCTGCACTAGTACTGGAAATTAGATAATGTTAACTAGTTTACTGTAAACAGCCTGCCAGGGCCTAAAAATTCTTTCTCCAGAATAAACAGCTCACAGGAGTTAACTCCAATTTCACCTAATAACCTTTAATTTTGAATGGTGGGGACTAACAACATGCATACTCATTGAGATAAATGTCAAAGACATTGCCTCAAAACATTGTTCCCTACAGATTGGTAGAAATTTAAATACAGAAAAGCGAAAAGCAGAGGGTGGGGGGTAGGGGGGTGTCATGTGGTAGCTGCCTGCTTAGCAAGTGTGAGGCCCTGAGTTTAAATCCCAGTACCACCAAAATAGAAAAGTGGGAAAGGTCTTTTTAAGCATTGTCATATTTTTTAAAATAGATGGAAATATTTTATATTTTAGTAATTTAGGTGTTAAAACACAACATTTTTATGACAGGTGACAAATTATAAAAATAGTCACATGTAAAAGTGACAAGTGGTTTGTATATTTAACATATAAAGAGCTCATAATCAATAGGAAGATAAATATCCTCTCATTACACAAATATTTATTAATGAACATAAACCTTATGACAAGCTCCATGCTAGGATAAATTAAAATAAATCACATGTAAACCATGCAGTATATGAAATATTTATCTATCATGTAGAGTCTAGAAAATACATTGATCCTTCCCTCAAATGCCTTTATAATTTCTCTTTATTTAGTCAACATTTGTAGAATTCAAGAACAGGTATGTTATGATTCTTTCAGAATAGGCAGATGGTTTCAGTTAAAAGTAATAAATTATCCTTCCATATCTTGGTGAATTTCTCAGCTTGACCTTTAATTGATATAAATACTAAATCACTGAATACTGTCATGATAGAACTATTACCTTACCAAACTATGCTAAAGAGAATAACAACAAAACAATCATGACTATTTATAAATTATCTACTATAAGCCAAGTCCCATGTAAAATGGCTTATCAACATCATCTCATAGAAGCTTCATGTCTTATGTATGAGAAAAAAATATTACTGTCCCTATTTTATAGCTGATTGTATTCAGGCTCCAGGAATTTAAAGTACTTGTTGACTCTTAATGGATTGTTAAGTGTTGGAGCTAAGACACACTTCACTTCTGACTTTCCATTGTAGTTAAGCTGATCTTCCCTTGATTCCAGTCTCAAGGAAAATCTTGAGAGGATGTACTTTGGTTATATTCAAATGGTGAGTTCTCAAACGTTTCTCTCCAAGATATTTCACAGAAATATCTTGCCATAATAAAAAAATTTTTAAAGTCAACAATATAGTCCATATCTACTGGAAATAACTTTCATATAAAATGCAAACTTCAGGCAAATTTTTAATATTATATAGCTGATCTTATTTATTTCTTGTATTTTATGTCATATAAAAAGTACCTGATGGCAATTTTTAAAAAGAAGATACACTCTTAAGATTTGCATAGGGAATAGTCTTCTGGAGAGCTGGCACTTTCTTTATGCAGTCTCTGGTTAAATTTACAGTATTATTTTTCATTAATGCATCCAGAAGCATTCTAAAGTGTGGGCTACATGAGCCTTCTGTAGTGCAGTCATGTATGCATTGTTTTTAAACAGAAGAAAATCCATGTATGGAAGAATAAGCCATACACAAAAAAGTAGTCCAAATATCTCCTTGAAGAAATA